TGAAGGGACATGCATTGGACATGTCCCCAGCCTGGGCTAGTTCAGGGGTCAGGGCCAGTTCCCAGAGGACAATCTTGGTGCTCTCTCAGTGGCCGTTTGCCTGTGATCAGGTCAGCTGGCTGGTCTCACAGCCTTGGATCTGCAGCCATTGTGTTTTTTCTTTGGTTTCCACTCTTACCTTCCAAATTCCCCCAAACTGTCCACACTGGTTTTTCTCAGGTCTCTGAAAAAGTAAAATCTATTTCTATATAGGGACATAGTTTACCTCCTTGGCTTTAAGCCAAACTGCTCTCCTCTCTGAGCCTTAGAAACAGGGGTAACAATAGTGTGCCCCAACCAGGGCGGCTTGGACATCCCTCCAGCTCCTGCAAGAAAGAAGCAATAAAGGAGCTGGGAAATCTGGCCCCCGTCAGCGTCAGTATTCAGTTACTTTTCCTTTTGTTGACAGTATTATGGTTACTGCCCCTCAGAACCTCACCATAGCACTGTGGCACTTCGGTTAAGCCTTGAAAGGCCCGATTCTTGTCCTAGCTTGCTAACATTAGTACCCTAGCCGTCTAGCTTGGATTGATGTGAGCATTAAATGTGGTCATGTATGTAAAGACATGCTTTACTTTAAGGGTGGGGAGCTTCTTTCCTAGTGAAGGCCCCAACCCACAGTGGGGGGAAACCTTGAGACATACAAATAACAGGACAACTATATTCATTTGGGAATGGTTTGTGTTTGAGAGAAGCCTAGGAAAAAATGTGCAAATCTGCTTTGAAATAGACAACAGGAGACATAAAACTTTATTTTTAAAAATAACAAAACTTACCTCCATATTAGCCAACACAAACAGGCATTTGGAGAAAGAGAAGGTATCTGTGAAGCAGAGACAGCTGGCCAGCGGCATGTGTACAGTCTGGTCTTTCTGACCCCTCAGCTCCACAGAATGCAGCCCTGCTCAGGGAGTCTGGCTGACCTTCCTCACCAGGGAAAGAGTCCTTATAAGATTTGAAGACCTATAATATATAATAATAGTAATAATAATAACAATAGCAGAGAATACTTATTTAGTGAATATGCCCATCATAGGCCAACCTTTAGTCAAGTATTTTACACGCTACCTCGTGAAGTCAGAACTGTTTTGATTCCCATCTTACAGGAAAGCATCCAAGACCAACGAGTTTGAGTGGCTTATCTGAGGTCGTTCAGAGAGTGGGTGACTGAGCCAAGTTAGGAAGACCCCGCATGGAGTTCACACTTGGGTTTTCACACCACGCTGCCCACTGTTATCTCTAGAATCTTTGCTCACTGGTTTCTAGTTTCACTGGTGTGTTTAAAAATACTCTTCAGGCTTTATGTAGATTTTGCCATTTTAACTCTCTGATAAAACTTCCCTAAAGTAACTGCCCCAGTGGGTCTGAGTTCCAGTCCTGAATTTGGGTGACTCTGAGATGGAATCCCGTGGTTTGCCTCATGTTCTCCCGTGGCCGCTGCTGCGTGATAACTCAACCGGTAAGAGAAAACCTCTCCTGTGTGGAGGTTTTTCAGGTTATTCCTACTAACAGCTATGAATGCCTACTGAATACCACATTGAAAACAATGAATATACCAAGTTGTGATTTCAGAAGTCTAAGCAGATCTGTTGAGAATGGGTGCATGACAGATACTCAGCTTTTTTTTCTCAAAAAACTGCTGAGCATCGGAAGGTGCATGAAGCCATCAGCCGCTATTTCCTTTCTGCAGCCCTTTGTCTTCAGCAGTGCTTCACTATGTAATTTTCTGAGAATCAGACAGGATTAGACCTTTTCCTGTAATACCCTATATTGATTAGCCTGTATGCTTTTTGTCCTGTCACATGCACTGTGGTCCCCATTTCGGTGTAACTGTTTTAAGCCGCTTTGCAGTATTTTGATGAATACACGACAGAAGCAGCTTCCTGATAGCCAGGTAGCAGTCCTGGCCCCTGTACTCTTGCCTTTCAGTAGTTAAGCAAAAATGTGTAAAAAACAACTGATCCCTTCACGGGGAGAACAGTGTAGCACAGAGAAGGCACATAGTGGATCTGTGGCATCTTACTACACTGATGGACAGTGACTGCATTGGGGTAGGGGTGGGGACTTGATAATATAGGTAAATGTAGTAACCACATTGTTTTTTCATGTGAAACCTTCATAAGAGTGTTTATCAACCATACCTTAATAAAAAATTTAAAAAATAAATAAAAAACAACTGATCTCTGTTTTCAAGGAAAAATACACACACAAGTCTCATATTTAAAACAGATGAAAGTGGTGCTGCTGTAGCCCGAGGCTCTGGAAGGGCCTGAGCTCCCCCCGCCTGCACCGCTGTTTCCCCCTCAGTTCGCAGACAGCTGAACACTGCCGACCTGCCGAGTGAGGTCTCAAGCACTCATGTAAACATGCACATAGTTTTATGGAGGAAAACAGCAAATTGGGGCTAGGAAGGTTAAACAAAATGAAGTGCAATAAGGCCAAGGCACCTCGCAAGGCATATTCCTCACTATTCCTTGAGAAACCTGTCAGTAAACAAAATCTCATCTAAAAGTCTCTTGGCTTCCAGCCCAGGACTCTTCCCACTCTATCATATTGTATATACATATTTTTGTCTGTAAGAACATTCACATACACCATCCAGGGAAGTAAACACTGCTCTAAACTAAAACTTCATGGTCCTGGGGCTTGTGAGGTCACTCTTTTGTGAAATTGTACAGAACTGATTTCTTCACGATTCCTCTTTTGCTAAGTGCCAAATTCCATTTCCCATCATTCAAGGACTTCATTCATTCATTCCCTTCTTTAACCATTCTTCCTTCCTTCCATCTATTCATCTATCCATCCATCCTCCATCTATCCATCCAACTTGTTATTGAACACCTGCCATGCTAGGTGCTGGTAATATGATGGTGAACAAGACAGGTATGATGTCTGCTTGCCCTCACAGGGCTTACATCCCTTACAACCAGTGTGGGATGATGGGGGAGGGATTCTATAAATGATTCTGGAACTGTGAATAATACTGTAGAGATGCTCACCTCATATCCTCCATCATCACTGTCAATTTTTAGCAGCAGAGTCAACCCGCCCTTTAAATTTTTATTCCAACAAAATTTCAGCAGAAACTCAGACTGTAAACCAAATATAAGTGGGTGGGTCTGATTGAAGACAGAAGAGCTCAGTTCCTGCCACGCAACCCAAAGCCCCCCTCATGCTTGCCCTTGAGGTGCCACCTCACACACTGACCTTGGTCTCTGTCCTTGGTCTGACATGGTTTCATATGCTAAGAGTGCTATGCAGCTATTCTTCATATATGCTAATGTCCCAGCTGTAGGAACAGCTAGGATGAATGTGTAAATTCAGGCCCTCAGACCTCAAAAACCACAGGCATGGTAACTAGCAGCCTTTTTTTGTTCTTTCAGTTTCTACCCCCAGAGCTGGTTGTCTGTAGGCCACTAGAATGGGACAAGGGAGCACTCTTGATAGGGTGTTCTCCAACTGAATCCTGGGCCCTGTGGATTGTACCTTTTTGTCCCAGTTGAGATGTTGAAAACAAAAAACAGCAGGAATTACTCCTCCACCCCCAAAAAACGAGACAGGATGAAGGAGCATATATACACATGTTTGTTTTGTGTTGTTTCTGAAAAATTTGGGTAACTTGAAATTATTTAATCATGTTTAATTTCCTGTAGGGGGAGGGGAAATTTCCATCGTAATTTGAGACAAGTGGCAGTTTTGCCTCTGGCAAATTTAAATGAGAAAAGTGAATGCTGCGATGCCAAACCATCCATGAATGCACATCTGTGCCCATAGTCTTAATCAACCTCTTTGTCTGGCTCCTTTTTTTTCTTGTTGCTGCTGCAGCAGCCTCAGTGATGCCTGCCCACGTGATACAGTGACATCTGCACAGAACAGGCCCTCACTTTCTCTTTGAATTGATGTAAAGCGCTCCAGCCTCTTCAAGTGGCCACATAGAAAAGGGCCTAATCCTTAGGATAAAGTGATCCCCAGATTTAGAGCACAAGTTTCTTAAGTTTTTCCACCTGTGTATACGTCAGTAGAGCTGCCTGTGTTCCTCTGTTATGCCTCTATCTGTATGGATCTCCTAGTCTACTCAGCTTCTCTCTTCTCTAGTTCGTTAGCCCATGTCATAGTCAACCCAAAGAAGGCCGAAAATGAGATCTTAAAAAACAAATAGTTATTCAGTAAACTGATATATTAATACAGGCCAGGGATGACTGTAGTTGCCCAGTGGATGTATTTTATTTAGTCCCACAGCACTGTGTAAAAAATTATTTTTTGAATTTGAATGCCTTTGGACTTTGCAGATGCTTGCCAGTTTGCCACAATCCCCACCATTCTCTGTTGTCTTTCACATTCACCCTCCTTGATGTATTTATATTACTGCCTGTTTTTAAAGTCATTCTCCCTTCTTGCATTCCAAGGCTTTTCCAGTCTGCCTTCCTTGGAAATCTCCTATGTGCAATTTAGAATTCTGGAGTACTACAAAAGACATTGCTACTTTGTAGATATTTAGAGCTATTAAAGCAAATGAAAAGATATACAATCAGCACTCATTTATAGAAAGTTGGTTAAAGAAAGTTAGAGTTGTTCTCACTGCTGGGAATGGTATAAGATGCCAACCAGTAAATCTTACTAATTTAAAAAGTGACTCAGCAGATTTTATGTGTAGCCTCGAAAACTTTGCTCAGGTGGTTGATTCTGGCTAGACCAACTGTTGCTTGTCCACAGGGTTCCTGGAGCTGTAAGATAACTTGATAATGGGTTCTTTATGTCCATATTATCAAATATCAACCTTCCTTTCCAGCTCACTCTTTCCAAATTTCTTTCCATATTGCCCGTCCTACCATACTTGGTGTCATAGAATGGCGTTAGTTCTCATTTGGGCTGTGGACTCACCTGCCTATGAAATTTCCCTGACTATTGGTACTGAAATTAGAAGGCTATCATTGTTCCCTGTTTTTTTTTCCATTTCCCAGCAGACATATGGAGTGATCACTCCTTTCAGACCGATCCAGATTTGCCACCTGGTTGGAAAAGAATCAGTGACATCGCTGGGACCTATTACTGGCACATACCAACAGGGACAACTCAGTGGGAGCGCCCTGTCTCCATCCCAGCAGACCTTCAGGATTCTAGGAAAGGGTCACTTAGTTCTGTAACGCCATCTCCCACCCCAGAGAATGAGGTAAAATGGAGAATCTTTTTAACAGCTTGGTAAAGTGAATGTAGCTTGTGATTTCTGTTTAGGCTTATTGCTTCTGCCCCAACAGGTCATCAAGGTAAGCATTTTAATTATCATGCATGTTGCATTTGACACTTCAGAAATGTTTCCCCTTAGTAAATAGTGTGAATACCACCTTCCAGGGATGTTTTCATTTTTTAGTGGCTTTGGTCTCTTGAAACACTGTTCCAGGTACAGAAAGTAAGTGGGGCTGATGAATGAGAAGTGGCTAAGATTCCCTGGGGCTCGCGGAGGTGATGCTTTACTCTAGGTGCCCCTGCGTGGTGCTGGCTCCATAAAATATTTACAAGCAGAAGAACGTCTCTTGGCCAGACGTATTATAATTGCTGCATAATATTAGCCCTAGATTAATTTGATTGCCTCGAGAGGATGCCTGTAAGAATAACCCCTGAGAGCCCTTAAATGCTGAATTTCTATCTTTTTACAAAAATGATCTGTTTATTTAGTGGAAGTGACATTATTTCAGAAATAAGTAGCTAAATTTCTGCTTGCCCTGAGGAAGAAATCTGATATTTAAACAAAGAGTTGAGGTATTAAAAGATTCTGCTGTGGTATTTATTAATACAAAGATTCATGTAGTGAGCTTTTGTGAACCTGATAACAAAATAATCCAGAGAATTGCAGTTGGAAAAGGTCACAAGTAATGGCTTTTTTTGAGACATGTGGTTGGATCCCTTACAGGCAGGCATTTCTGCCTTTTTCTACCCCAGTCTTTTGTTTTTTTAAACAGCCCATTTCTTTTCCTTTGAGAACAAGGAGGGAACTTATCTGCGAAGCTTCTCTGTATATTTGCAACTGTTAATCACCCTGCCTATCTTTGACAGTAGGCAACATCTTGTTTCCTACATCTTTGATTATTTACTTGCTGTCAACTGGGATGCAGTTAGACCTATAATCCAAGCACATTCCTGCTGTAACTGGGTTTTAGCATCTCACTTACCCTGCCTGGGCCTCAGATTCTCCATCTATCAAGTGATAGGTTGGGGTGAGCTATCCCCTCATTGATAGACAGGGCCCTTGGTTTGTTGGTACTTGACCCCAATAGTCAGGCATGCTTCAGTACCATTGAGCCGTGTGGGATTTTGTTGCTATGTGATTTTGATTATTCTTTATTGAAGCACAATATTCCTACTTCCAGAGCAAAGTCCATTCATTTACTCATCTCGTGTTATGTATGCTAGGGGATAAAGACGAACCAACACAGTCCTGGTCCTCAAGGAGCTTAGCATGAATGGAGTCCTCTTCCTACCCCAGCCCAATTGCATCTTGGCGTTTCTAGCTGGACCACAGAGTGGCCTCCCAGAAGCCGAGCAGGCCAACATGGCATGCAGCCTCTGCTCTTTGCGAAGGAGCAGATATCCTCTCTCTTCCTTACCTGTACATCCTTTCTCTTGACATCTCTGCTAGCATCTCTTTCTTCATTCCAGGGCTTCTTTCCCCTAGTGCCTCCCTTTAATGTTCTTCACCCACAGAAGAACCTACAACTACAGAATACTGGGGTGGGAGGGGATCATCTGATACCAGAATCCATACGTTAAAGTCAGGGAACCTAGATGCAGAGAGGTTAGTGAGCAGTGGTAGCACTGGGTCTAGAAGTCAGAGTTCCTGAATCCTCCTGAATCCTAGCCTGGGATTCTCACCAACTTTGCTGGCTTTGGGATTTCACCCTATTCTGCTTTTGCATTATCCCAGAGGTGAGGAGATTAGACTCACTTTGAATTACTGTTTCTGTTCAGTGAACCTCCTGTCCTCTGTATGGGGAAGAAATGAAGTCCTGAAAGCCTGCCTCCTGAGGCCAAGGTGTGGGTGTGGTAAAGTCCAAAGAGCACATCCCAAGGCTTAGGCGGCTCCCAAGGATTTTTATTTCACTTACTATGGTAGACTTTCACATCCCCATTTTCTGCAAGAAGCCTTGGGAGGAATGCAGCACAGGTGGGCCTGGGGAAACTGTCAGGTAGCAGAGTTTGTATCTAATCCCTGAGCCTCCTTGCAATGGCTGCTCCTGCCTGTTCTTCCCCTTCTCTGTCCCTGCTCCCAGTTTCATCCTGCCCAGAGCTCAGCCTTCTCAGGTCACACTGTGTCCTGCAGCCCGCCCTCCCTGCCTCCTCTCCAGAAGTTCAGTGTTTACCTCATGCATCCCCACTCACTCCGCCTCCCTGCTGTTATTCATGATATTGTAGCTTTCAGTGTGTTTTCATAAATGTCAAATCATTTATTTCCTTCAAGACTCTCATGTGGCACAGAAGACAGCTATTATGTTCTCCATTTAAGAAAAGGATTAACTGAGGCTCAGTGAGTTGAATGACCACACAGCGGGCATAAGGATGGACACGTGTCCAGGGCTCTGACTCTAGATCTTGAGCTCTGCCCCCAACACTATGTGGATTCCCTTCCTGTGACTTGTCCCATTCTTTCTCCTGCTGCTGACCATGCTATTGTGATGAGAAAGTCTTATCCCTCCAGGGAACTTTGTTAACAGATGTGTAATTTTGAAGATACATAGAGAGGACATGGCTTATATCCAGCACTTTAACAGACTTACGAAATAGATGTTCTTCAGATCAGCCTTTCAATTGTTCCTGTCATACACATTTCCCCCTGTACATAAGGTCATCCATTTAGTCAAAGAATCAAGTAAGTTCAAAAGGCAGTGGATTAAAATCATAGAAGCAAAGGGATGAACAGGTAGATTGAAGAGGAAGGGTAGAGTTGGGGAAAAGTCCTAGCCTGCCACGTATCCAGAACATGCAGAAGCAGACATGGACGTTAAACCAGAGGCACTGAGGGTAACTGAGTGTTTACAGTGCTGGGCTCATGCCTAATCTCATGACTACTCTTAAAACCCTGTGCATCTGGTATTAAAGTTGTCATTTCCTTTTTACATTTGACAACGCTGAGACACAGGTGAAGAAGCTTGCCCAAGGTCATACACCTAATACATGGTGGAGTCAAACTTGAAAGACGGTCTCCTGACCCCCATCTCTACCTGAAGCTTCATGGTAGTGCACATCAGGAGTCTGGGAGCATCTTGAATCTCTTCACATCATCCTGAGGATGGCTGTGTCACTTGCAGAGCCTTCTAGAAAATGACTTCTCTTGACAACATTGTTTCAGGTGCTAATGTCAATTGAAGAAAAATGATTATTTCTCTGACACTGTTTCTTTGATCTCTCATTAAAATGTATTTCAGCTAATTCAGAAACATGAGAGAAAGCAGAATGTTAAGAGTGAGAAGAAACATGTAATATGTCATGTTAGAAATGCATATTTTATTCAGCTTTTTTCCTGAGCTGGTTTTAAAAAAAAATCAAATAAATGCCAAAATCAGTTGACTAAGCTTCACAAAAGTTTAGGACTGAAGGCTTCCTTACAGTTTGAAAATTTTACATTTCACATTCCAAAGTTCACTGGGGAAGTGTTAAGTGCAGTGGATAATGTTTCCTCTGCACATGCCAGAAGTATTTGCAAAAGTTTATAAACTATCCAGGAAGCATTTGCTGCTGAAATTTGGCCCATGAAGATCTTCCCCCAAACCACTGATATCTCCCAAATTATATAGTTGTCAAATTTTAGGAGATCCACACAAAATAGTTTTGTGAATAACTATTGTTCCATAGGCAAATCTTGCTTATAATCTTTCCAACTTAATGGCATTCCCTGGTTCCTTAAGAAGAGAGTGTGGAGGAGAAAGTGCGTCTGAAGGAAGGTGGAATTGTTTCTCAGGACTGTGATCTTTTCTAGATCATAATTCAGTCAGTCTTGCTGCATTTCCCCTGGAGTATGTGGGGGCCTGTGTAGCTAACTCCCTAGGAGGGACAAAACCCATTATGATATTAGAACCTGTAGACGCTCATATGTTCATAGAAAAAAGATGACAACATAAGGGGCCGTTCTTCTGTCCTTTTACTGAACTTATTTTTCTGATCTAGAAATCATGACATTTTAAGGCTGGCAAGGGCCTATCAAGAAGGTCCTATCAAATGCTATGGCAGTATTTCTTTCTGAACCTGTGAGCTAAGGACTGCAGCCGGGGTTACTTCTGGGGCTTGTAGAACATATCAATTCCTTCTTCCTACCCCAAGCCACTGAGCTAGACTCTGTAGGGGTGGGACATGGAAATCTGCCTTTATCATAAGCTTTCTAGCTAATCCTATGCTGACTACGTGCAAGAGCTGGTCCTCCAGTGAACCTAGTTTCCCTGTCTTTATTTCTGTGTCACTTCCTCTTGGGCCTTACCCCAGCACCTCCTGGGAATCACTGCTCTTACCCTCTACTTGAAAACCCTTTAGTCCATAGTGTCTCTTTGTAGTATTACTACTTCCAGCATGTCAGTCTCTCTCCTTGCAGAGTCAGGACTGTCCCTCCATCTTGTGTCCCTGGCGTCTGGCACAGTGCCTGGTACATGATGAAGCTCATTAAGTGTTTGCTGAAGGAATAAAAGAAGGCATCAACCACCTTCATGGCCAAGAGAGCTCTTAGTTGACTTGCTGGAGCAGCAAAGCCAGCATTAGGCCCTGCATCTCCTGACCCTCCTCTGGTTTATGTTTGTGCATTGTGCTGCTGCTCAGAGACTAATTCATTTGCACAGGCATTTGTCAATCTGTTTACTAGTTTTTATTTATTTATTTGCTTCTCTGGATTGTGTTTGCATGATAAACCATACCTCTGTTCTTCCTTTAGTGCTGCATCCAACAAAACACAGAAAGCATTTTAAAAAGACAGACAAAATATACATGTAGGCATACAATGTTCATTAACACTGCCTGGCAGTGTTCCTTGGGATTCTAAGACTCCAGATGCTCTGCTTTTTCTCATCAAGGTCACACATACTGAGGCTCAAGTCTTGACAAAGGAAGATTAAGCAGCATAGTTCATAACTCTTTGTAGTCCATAGGTCCCCTAAATTTTTGTTCTTACAGATGGCCTTGTTTTTTTCCTCTGTGGAGAAAGTAGAGGATAAGGAAAGTGACATGCCCCAGACACCTTTGGGTAGCCAGGCCCTGTGCTAAGGGCTGATGTTCTTGGGCTCACTTTGTCCACACTGCAATGGGAGGTCTTCTTAGCTCTGTTTGAGGTGCAGGGTGCTAAGGTCTCAGAGCAGATGCATGATCTGAACCTGGGCTTTCCAGGAGGTCGTGTTGACTCCAGAACCTCTGATGTGCAAAAGGAGGTGGTGACTGCAGCTGCTGCCCGTGGAACGTTCATGTGTTCTGCCCTCTCCAGGACTCCCCAGCACCACCTCCAGTCCAGTTTGCATTTTGACAGCACTGCATAGAGACTTTCTTAGTGTCTCATAGGGACTTCTCATCCCATCAGGCCCCATCCTCAAGAATGCCCTGTTGACACTGTCAAAGGATCAACTCCAATATTAGCTTTTTTTCCAGCAGGACATGGCATTGTTTTTGTTTGATTTGTGGAATTTCTTTCTAAGATCCCAGAAGAGAAACATGAAAGAAGGAAAGTCTCAGTAGTCAAGGTTATACAGTTGGATTCCCTGAGTGGGCCCAGGCTCACACAGCTTCTGCTGCATGGTCACAGAGGGTGCCACGCTGGAAGGTCACGAAGGGTCATGATGGGCATCATGCTCTGGGCACTGGGCTGATCCCCATGGGCACACTGTGTCTAAGTTGCTGAGGCTCCAAGGCTCTCCTGGAATTCATGTACTTAGGGAAAGGCACTGCAGCCTGCGCAAGGTCAGGGCAAAGCACCAGGAGGATGCATCCCAGGCTGGAGCTCTGCCACCAGAACATCACTCCGCTGTGCAGAGCGTGAGCTGCATCACCTGGAAGATTATCAGTCAGGAGGTCCTTACTCATGGAAGACAGCCTCTGTTGTTCTTTCCCTTCCTTTCCCCTCTTTCTGTCTTTGCCACCAGCCTTTCCCTCTCTTACTGTCCCTCTCTTTGCCCCTTCTCTCCATTATCTCGCACTCCCTCCACCCAGACTGCAGAATGGGGTGACTGCAAACTTTCTGTAGAACCAAAGAATCTCCGTTAGGTTTTCTTTTTTTAATTGATTAGTTAAAATGTTGTATTCTCTCTTTGCAATAAAAATAATTTGGTGGATAGAATATGTAGTTCTTAAAATGTAAGACAAATTACTTTTGTCCTTCCTTGCCCTAAAAAGGAAAACTCATTTTTAAGGAGGAGAAAATTTCTAAAAAATGAATACTTTTAAATATAGGAGGAAAAAAAGTCTTTTGGCTTAGTCATAACATTTAATGTTGGTCCCATTTTTCCCTTCTTTGAGTTTTGCACCAAAGGGTTTCTGTAGGAGTACCCATGTTATTTTGGCTTTTGCAGAATCACTGTATGGGGCCTTTGTTGATTTAAATCTATAAAAGATGATAGCTGGAAATTCGCCAGCTGGCTCATGTCTCCACAGCATAAGAGTTAGATTCATGTAGTCTTAGAACTCTAATCAACTTTACCTTACAGGGACCTCTATATCCAAAGAATAAATACTTAAAAACATTTAACCCCCACCCCCCACCCCATCCCCACACATGCAACTGTTTTAATCGAATGCCAAAGTTTTCCAAATACCTGTTTTAAAAAATACTCTCCTACTCCCAACATAGTGTCTTTTGAGGGTAATTTCTGACTCCAGATTCCTCTTGTCCGACACCTACTGTTTTTTTTAAAGCTTCTTCACAAGAATACAGCTGCCTTGAGCCTTCCTAGTTCACCACCTGATATTCTTTTTCAATATTCAACTCAAGTGAAAAACAAACATTGCTCACATGTGTGATGACAGTGTGGGTCAAAGACGCTTGTTTTCCTTTTTAAAAAGAAACCCTAGCTTACATTTTTTGATGATTCAGGTCCTTATTGTGAGCCCCCCTCTGATGGTGATTCTAAACCTTTCTTGGTCACTGGACCCTCTGAAAATAGGAGAAAATAGGGGATCTTCTCCCCAAGAAAATACACAAAACCCCACCCCCTTTTGAGGGGTTCCCAAGCACCCACAGTTGATAGATTAAGCTCTCCTGGGTTATTAATCTTCTCAGTGAAAACCGAACATTGCTTTGGGGGATACAGTAAGGAAAGAGGCAAGGTGCTGGGAAGCATTCCTGCTCTTGTGCTCAATCAAGGAGATTATTAAAAAAAAAAATACAATGGTCTGAGTTCTATTTTATTTTGAAAAACTTCAGTTTGGGTGCCTAGTCCAAAAATGAAGCAACAGTGGTATCAACCATACAACAGTGATAATGGATTGAAATTGGTGATGACTTGGTCCCTTAGAGTCCTTCAGAGCTAAATAAAGGCATCTTTCAACACACAGGATATTTGAACTGGGCTGCTTCTGCTTTCAGTGGTTTTAAAAATTGTATTAATGTTGCGAGCAAAGGTTATGGGTCAGTATTCCCTTTTCATTTTTGAAGAAATTTAAGTTGGAAAGTTTCCATTGTTGATTTATTATCCCAAGAAAAGAGATTTCCCTGACGAGTCAGTGGAACCAATTCACAAGGATGTCTGTGGGTCTTATGAGCTTCAGGTATTTCCCTAAATCTTAGGTGGAAAATATTTGAGTATTCAGTCAGTGTAGTAGAAAGGAAAAAAAAATTGCCTTGTCTGAGATGTTCAGATTCAAAGATTGATTAGAAGAATTCTCCCAGTCAGCCAAGGCTTCATGCTTTGCTGTATAATTATGTCTAGAAAATCGTGTCATGATCTAATAGAAATTTGTGAAGAGGCTTGTGTGCAAGGCAGCGGAGCTTTTTATGAATTAGAGGAATTTACACAGGATTGTTTAGAGCTACTTTTTGTTAGGTTAGATTTCAGTGGGATATTGATGTCAGGCCACACTCTATCTCCCTCTTTTCCTGCTCATTGTCCCTTTTTTTTTTTTTTTTAAGTGAAAATAATTTGACCTCCGGCTTCATATACCTTTGGCTGTGGACACACCCCAGTTCCCAAACCAGCATACTGACAAGCACCACCCCTAAATTCTCCCCCACTCAAGAAAACAATTCTGTTTGTTCATGGGAAGTAAAAAGCTTCCTTTGGAATTAAGAATACTAGGCATGTAATACTTAGCTCAGTATGTGCTTTTAAGACCACACTTAGAAAATGACTTCACTGTCTGCTAATAATGTTCAGTCATTTGTTTGGTAAGTAAAGCTCCATCTCTTCCCTCCGGCCCTGGTCTTCAGGTGATCATCCAAGTCTAGGGAAAGTGAACTAACAAGTTCTGTTAGAGTGAATTTGTTCCCTAATCCGTCCTGTGAATATCAATGCTAACAACAGTGTCTTGTGTTTTTTTTTTTTTCTTTCCTGTTTCCTTTATTTTCTTTTTAAATCATGTGCTTTTTCCTATGTGAATAATTATATGTCTAGAAACAGCCATGGAGTGATTTTGCTGTTCTGAATGGGGGAAAGATTAATAGTGACATTTGGAAGGCAAGTATATTGTCAGATTTTAGATCATTTAATATTTTGTCCTGTTTGCATGGCCGTGGCTGTATCTTTTACTTCATGAAGATCATGCATTCTGCAGAGATGAAGTAATGGGGCTTCTTGCTAGGGATGTCCAGCTCTCACACATGATGCCTTTTTTGAAGTCCTCTGTTGTGAGTGACTTGAGGATGATTGCCCCAGGTTCCCTGTTGTCTTATAAGAATCAGCGCTTGCCGAGCCAGCACCCAGCAGCCCCTGCATGCCTTTTTCTGCCTAAGCTCACATACATGCTCTGCCTCATGCCGGGAGGATTTTTGCTCCCCTTTGGTATTTGAGGCCATGTTATGGGCCCTCCCCCTTCTCCATTAACAGGGGTCTATTTTCCTCTAGGATTTGCATGCAGCCACAGTTAACCCGGACCCAAGTTTAAAAGAGTTTGAAGGAGCAACGCTGCGCTATGCATCTTTGAAACTCAGGTAAGATGTTGGAAAGACCTGCAGTAATCTGTGGCTTTGTGCAGTGAGAGTTTGCAATAGAGTTCTAAGTCCAATATTCTGTTTTTCTTTCTAGAAATGCCCCAAATGGTGATGATGATGATTCTTGTAGTGTCAACAGTGATCCAGAAGCCAAGGTTTGTAAGAAATATGCTTCCAGTGACCGGGTTATATTCTTACATCAAAGCAATGATCTTGGATGTGGCCCCGTTTTTACAAACCATCAACCTAGAGTCACTTAAGCTGTTGTCCCTCGATTGTCTCTCTTTCCTAATCTTCCCAACACCTGAAGTAAATCTCCAGGCCAAGTTAGGTTTGGGAGGATTTCTGTAATCATCAGGACATACCTGTATCTCATGGCACCAGCTCTTTGCACAACATAAACAGTTAAAATAATTGTTCAATGTGAGCTTCCAAAGTCTTTGAAGAGGGCCCAGCCTTGCGGGGCAATGGGAAGGGCAGTTGGACCAGGGTAGGAGCCTCCTCACACCCATCTTCTCCAGGGTAGCCTCACCCCTCTGCAAGGTGATAAATGCAATGATCACAGGCAGGATTCATGATGGGAAGTGAGAGTGAACTTTTGCTTCTAGACTGCTGGTGGGGTACCAGCAGAGCCATCATTACAGGCTTGCAGCCAGTGTAGTAACTCAGGGTCCTGAGCTGAGATCAGGCCCCTATGTAAGATCTTTTAATGCTGTGTAGTTTCAGTCTTGAAATTCTTAATAATTTTATTAGGGCAATGGAGCATACTCCTGGGACTTACAGTCTGGGCTTACTCACAGTCCTGGCACCCCCTACCACCACATTCCGGCTCCACCAGCAATTACTACTAGGGGCCTAGGTGGGAAGGGGAGGGTTGGCATTAGGCACACATACCCCCAGGAAGGGCTAAGTGGTGGCATGTCCAGCCCAGGCTGACAGAACCATGATGTGTTCAGCAGGCTCTGCCTTTTCCCAGTCCAAATACCTAGCATGTCCTGGCACAATGGTACTGTACACTTGAGGGCCATCCATCTGCTGTGGGTCTGTGGGAAAGAGATTCCTGGCTCAGTGTTCTTATCTCAGCCAGGGCATGGTGCATCGGGCCAGCCACTGGTGGGAGAGGTTACCCAGGAGCTGGCGGTCTGTGGGGGAGGGCAGGCTCCCTGGGCACCTAAAAGGGCCTGCCCTCGCCCTGCAAGTATCTCTGTGCTCAAGGGAGCACGACTTTAAATAGTAAGTAAAAACCACCATAAGGAATCAAGAGAGAGAATGCAGAAGAAAGGAAAAAGTTTTGTTTTAGTACTTCTTACGCTGTTTTTCCTGTTTCTTGAACAAGGGACCCTGCATTTTCATTCTGCATGCATCATTTTCATTTGTAAATTATGTAGCTGGTCCAAGATAATTTCTATCTGAATTCCAAAGCAAACTGTGTCTATGATTAAAATGGCAAATAGGTTCCCTTAGTAGTCGAGTGGGAAGCATCATGCAGGTTCAAAACTGTGACTCCTTTGCCAGAAACTCCCATATTGCCATCAGTTCTATAAGGATCAAGGCTAACAGTTGACATCTCTGGTACTCCTAGATTATCAGCTTCACTCTGAGCGCAGCCTAATAGGATGAAAGCGATCCAGAGCCAGTGGTATACTAAACAAGGCCTTGGGCTTCTGCTAACATGTTGGCCTTTAAAGATAAATTTTATGGCAGGGAACGGATGCAGTAAAATAGGAAGGCAGGCTGTGAATAATTGCTTTGCTACCGGGTGTTTTACAAGGGCTATGGGCAGAGGCTTGGGGGAGGAGGGGTGAGCAGCGGCAGTGTCTTTCTCCACCCCTAAAGGCTGGAGGAGTGGTGTCTGTAAAGCTGGGGTGTGAAATTGACACAGGCGGGCAGGGAGGGAGATGCCTGGAAGGGAGATGGAATTAGAAACGGGAGTAGGAGGACTGGTTCAAATATTACCCAAGTCGGTGCTTTCTCCTTTTCCCTCCCAGTTGTATTGTTTACTGAATTCTTTATCTGCCCCCTTTTTATTGCCAGTGTGTCTATCGATACCTATTACAAATTTGTGTTAATAAGGAGGCTCAGCTTTATCCTAAGTTACTGCAGGTGTACTGAGTTCTAAGCAAAAAAGTGTGGGTATTGCATTATGTATTTATGTTCTTCTTTGATCCATAAAAGATCTGAGAAGACTTAAAAGAACAAACACATTTTTTTAAAAGGCACAGAAGATACAAGGAGATAATCATTGTGTCTCACTGTACTGGGACAGTAGAGTCAGGAAACGTCAGATTGGGGGAAAGAAAAACACATGGCTTTTCAGACTGTAGGACCCTGCACAATTAGAGAAACTGACCTGTGGGTTCATTTCCATACCTTAGTGATTATTGATATCCTGTATTCTTGGAGTGAATGGCATGAATCCCTAGACGGGCAACTCAGAACCCTGACAGGACGTTTGCACCATACCTGCTTCTAACTGCCCCCAGCCCACCCTAGATTCTGAAGGTCCCTGTGCTGTAGAAATCACTGTCGCTGTTAAGGACCCCAAGCACTGGGAGAGAAAAGGGTTTCAGAACCATGCTTTCAGGAATCACAATGCACAGAAGGCCAGAGCCTCCCAGCTCTCTGCGGAAGGTAACCATTTGCCTAGTGCTTCATTATAGATAAGTGTAATAATGAATATTAATTTTTTTGCCAGGCATGGTCCTAAATTTAATTTTCTTGGCTCTCATCCCACAAAAATTCAGTAGGCTTACGTGTCATTATCTCCATTTTGCAAATGAGGCAACAGGCATAGAAATATAAAAATCTAGTAAGTAGTTGAGTCAGTATTTGAATCCAGGCAATTTGGCTCCAGAGCCCATGTTCACTGGAGTATATAAAGAAAATTCTTTATACTTTACATATTTGAAAGTTGCTAATAGAGTAGATCTTAGAAGTCTTTATTGCAAGAAAAATTAATTTGTGACTGTATGGCTACAGATGTTAATTAGGCTTATTATAGTGATCATTTTGCAATATCATTTTTAAAAATCATTATGCTGCACACCTGAAATGAATATATTGTTCCGTGTCAATTTAACTTCAATTAAAAAAACAAACTCTCACTTGGAGCTTCTTTTAGGGGGCAACCAGCAAATGATGTGACCTCAACAGTATTCCACCCATATAGAGATACATAGAAATTTGGATTTTGCCAGTTGGTATTTTATGGCATTACTTATTGGGAACAAAGGACGGAAACCCCAGCAAAACTCATTCCAGGCACATGGTGGAGGATCATGACAATGTGGACCAGCCCTCTGGTCTGACTTGAGGCAGAGGTGGACTTGGCCCAGAAGTGGAATGGATGGGCTGCAGGTTTTTTAGATCAACTCTCAGTAGTAGGATTTCTACTAGGCTTGTGAAAAAGGCCAGGCCCAGGAGGAAGCCAGGGCTCACGTGGAGATGACCTGCACTGCTGGTGATGGGCAGATGCGCACACTGTGGCTCCCCCATGCAGGGGGCGGGGTTGACATGCCTTCCAGGAATCCAAGTCTTGCTGCTGCTCCTCTGGATGCACGGTTACACACCACCCCCTAAGGGAGGTGGGCTGGGGGAAGCCCCGCAGGGAAGGCCAAGATGTTCTTTGAGAATTACAACTATTTCAAAATGCAACAGCTCTAAATGAAATTAACTTTTACAAATATTAAAGTCAGTGAGTTTAGAACTGACTTTTATGAAGGCCCTTTGGAGGAGAGCCATGCTGTGTCCCCGGTGCCCCTGCATGTGCACCCACACACTCCCTCTGTCCTCTCCCATCCACCTCTTAGTCACTCCTTGCCTGATCAATGCCACTTCGGGCACCCAGGAACGGAGAAGTGGCAAGACCTGGATGTCCCAGATGTCCAGGCTCCTTTGTGGAAGTAATTTAATTCTTTAGATAACCAGTTACGGTTTTTGAATGGGCCAAGGATCAGGAAACTGAGTGGTTTCAAAATAAGCAGAAAGTATCCTTTCTTTAGGAAAAACAAACCTGATTTCATGTACCTTGAGATGCTAAATATATTCTCTGAGGCATGGTCAGATTAAAAGATTGTTGGAGAAAATACAAAGACTATTGTAGAAAATGTCTTCCTTACTCCCTAAATGAAACTTATGTGCTGGAAAAATAAAAACCACTTTTAGATTGTCAGGCTGTGGACACTTCCAGATCCTCTCCAGCCATTCTGAGTTTGGGCATCTTTGATAATCAGCTGTTCAGTGAAACCCTTAAATAGCAGTGGTCGCATGAAATGACCCCACCACTCCCACTCTCCCACTTCTCCACCTCAAAGAGCAAAGCATTTTTCTAACTCTCAAGATGTTTTTTGAGCCCACCTAATTTTTTTTTTTTGAGAGGGCATCTCTCATATTTATTGATCAAATGGTTGTTAACAACAATAAAATTCAGTATAGGGGGGGTCAATGCTCAATGCACAATCATTAATCCATCTCAAGCCTAATTCTCGTCAGTCTACAATCTTCTGAAGCATAACAAACAAGTTCTTACATCCACCTAATTTTTTATACAATAAATTATTTTTGTAGTTGATAGTATGTGTGTGTGCTTGTGTATGATTCTAAATTCTTTAATTTTTTTATTTTAAAACAATCAGATTTATAGGACAGTCATAAAGATTGAGCTCCTATATACCCTTCACCTGGTTTTCCCTAATAATATTAATATCTTTATAATCATGGTAGTTATCAAAACTGAGAAATGAATATTAACACCATATTATTAACCAAACTGAACTGATTCACATTTTCCCACTTTTTTCCACTGATGTCTTTTTTCTATTAGTGGACCCAGTCTAAGGTACTACCTTATTTGGAGTGAGCTCTTTAAAATTTATTTCACATACTCCTTTCCATAATTTTCATATTTTTCATTCTTAAGCCCATTATATTACTCCATTTAATTAGTAGCACTATAGTCTGGCTAGGTACCCAGCTTACAGTACTACAGAGCAGAGCTACAACTTCAGAAAAATAGGGGACTTTTTTCTTTTAAGTTATTGCTTTGGTATTCATTGCTAAGACTGGTATTACTAGGTCAAAGGCTATCAGTCTATGGCTTCTGTCACTTATTGCAACACTGATGTTCAGAAAGGATACAGCAGCAGCATTGAAGTCC